TTTTGAATCTTATAGGTTTGTTCGTGTTGCTTGTCTACACTTTTTGCACTCAGCATCTTCGCTTTTCTCTTTTAAGGTAAATTTTCACGAGCTGCTCAAACCGGCTGTTACAGCGACAAGAAGAATCAGAATCATCTGGATCAGAATTGATGAATATCAAGTGTCCATTTTGATCACATGAACCTTTTTGTCGCTCAAATAATCGGTTAAAGCAGCTTATGAAAATTTACTTTTATTATGCCTCCGGCCATTAGGCCAAGGTCCACTTGATGCTACAAATGCTTCAAAGCATTTTTTAATTGGTCAATTACTAAAATTCTTTCGTCCGATTGCATAGTTCATTTTTTCTCTTTAACGTGGAGAGAAAAGAAAGAATAACGAACCGTGCAAAAACTTTAGTTAAAAAGAACCGGCCTATAATCATCCTATATCAATCAAAGAAGCGATCCGCTGTTATAATTTCGCGTTTTACTGGTTACGCGATTATTGATTATGCGGTTACGGGATACGCGGCAAATATGCTTCATGGAACTCCACCCTAGACCGGGAAGTACAAACTCTTGCATAACGCATGTAATGCATAAGAATTTTAACCAATCTGAATTCTTTATTTTATGGAAAAGAAAGAAACGAAGGACGTTGATTGTGCTCCCCGCTTAATAGCCACTCTACATAAATTACTAATCATAAATCAGAAGTTATAAGTTGGAAATTGACAACTGTGATTGATCAATTTCCAACTACTAACTTCTAATTTATGACTAATGGTTTACTGTAGAAAACATGTAAGACGGGGAACACAGACTCTTGCATAACACATAATGCATAAAAAATGAACTAATCAAAGTCCTTTGTTTTCTTTCTTTCCATGAAAAAGACTCTGATTGGTTGATTTTTTATGTTTTATGCATTATGCAAAAGTCTGCGTCATGATCCTAAAGCAGGGAGCCCAGACTTTTGCATAAAGCATGAGGCATAAGGAACCAATCAGAATCCTTTTTCACGGACAGAAAGGAAATAAAGAACTTCGATTGGTTCATTTTCTTATGCATTATGTGTTATGCGTTATGCAAGAGTCTGTGCTGCGGCCATAACGCGGAACGAGAGTGGAACCAAGCGCAAGTCTGCACCAATTGCAATTGGTATGGAACGCTTGTGATTGGTTCTGCTCTTCTTCCGCGTTACGCTATTCCGTTGCATGAGTAGACACCATGTTAAAGCCTATTCTACAATGACCGTAAAATCATAACATAAATCGCAACACGCAACACGCAACTCTTGTCGAGATAACGAATCAAAAGCGTCAATTGGGTATTATCGACTGTCTCTGATTGACTGTCGCGACAAACGTTACGTATGCGTTTTACATAAACACTTAATATGTCGACTTTTCTAATTTAAGTAAAACATAATCAAGTTCGCAGCGAAATGAACTATTTTCATTTCTTTACGTTACGTTAACCCATTAGAACAAGTGAAAAACACATTGACATAATCAGTGTTGATAAGTCGCACATACTTAAAATAAAACAAAGAAATGAGGAAATTGTTATAATACTTTATTTCCTAATTAAATAAATTGTTAACAATTAGATAAATTGTTTATTTAAGCAACAGAACACTATTAATAACAATTGTAATTACTTATGTCAAAGTTACGGCTAAAGCCCATGGTACATATAAAAATGTAAGGTCGTAACACGTAAGTAGTACGGAAATCATAAGATTGGATTCGCTACTGACTTTACGATTAGGGCAATTCGCTTACTGATTATGTCTTACGGCTACACGTTTTTGTATATGCTATCTTAACTGTGTCGGGCGAAAGAGGTTTCCGATTGCTATATTTTCTCAACTGGAGTTACTAGTCCCAGTAGTATTTTATATTGTTCAGGCCAGAATCGAATGTAAGAAAAAAATTCTTCATGATCAATCAATCTAATTTCGCGAAACAGATTAAATAGGAAACTCTGTTGTCTTCTTTTATTGATTAGCCTGGTCTACCAACGTCTAATTTTCATTTTTTGTGCTTGCAAAGCAATTATTTGAAGCGCAATACTTCGATTTAATAATAATATAAAAAGCGTTATGGGGGAAGGCCTATTTTCAAATCCGTTTTTAAAGTTATGGTGAATTTGATCATTCGCACTACAATGGATCAACACATATTAAAAGCTGCTTTATATAAACTATCTCAATGCAGTGATACAATATAATCAACATTGACAATGAAATGATATATATATATTTTGTTAAATAACGTGATAATATCATTAGTAGATATCATTAGTAGTTAGTCGTTTAAAATATTTATATACTTTTACATTTAACTTTGCTAATTTCGTAGCTTTTAGTATGCACTGATCTAGTGTAGTGCAAATGACCGAATTCGCTATTACAGTTAATAACCTCGCAACGAATAAATCGATCATTGCTTTCATCAGATCAACGTTTCTGATTGGCTATCTCGATAAGCGTTGCGTGTGCGTTTTGCGTGTCGTGATTTATGTTATGGTCTTACGTTACGGTCATTGTAGAATAGGTTTATGCGTCGTCTACAATGGGCAGTAACAGTAACGGATTAAGGAGTAAGCGTAGAAATCAACAAATCATAGTCAAATGTGAGAAGGATAATTAACTATCATTGATCGATTTCTACGCCTACTTCTTAATCCACTATTGCTACTGCCCATTGTGAATCATGCATAAAGCTAGTCACATAAACTTTCCGTAATAGTAACCGTAACGTAGATTTTCGACCAATCGCGTTACTCGATTCGATTGTTTGTAACCGTAACTGTAATAATCGAGCAACGGGTTAGTCGAAAATTTTACTGTTAGGGCCATTCCACACAAACTTACATAGCCGCATAACCATATGCATGAAGAAAATTATCCAATCACATTTTTGTCATAAAGGCAAACGTAAAATACGATTGGATGATTTTCTTTATGCATATGTTTATGCGGCTATGCAAGTTGTGTGAAATAACCGTTACTGTTACGAAAAGTGTGTGTGACTAGCTTAAACTTAAGCCAATGAGCCAATCAGGATATTACTTTAGATTTACGTAATCTGACGGAAATAGAAATAGCAGTAAACTTATCCATAAAACGGGGAGCACCGACTCTTGCATAATGCATAACACATGAGGCATAAGAAAATGAACCAATCAAAATCCTTTATTTCCTTCCTTTCCGTGAAATAAAAGAACTCTGATTGATTGATTTTCTTAAGCCTTATATTTTATGCGTTTTGCAGAGTCTGTGCTCTCCGCTTAAGGCAAATTTCAACCGGTTGAGATCCCCAAGTCTAATCTCTTTCTTTTTACTCTATAATCTTAGGTTTCTCTCTGATGGTAATATTAACGTTTCTCTTATTTAAAAAGTGAGAAGTGTTGTATCATTTTTCAAATTTCTTTCTCAATTTGATGCGATTATGTCAGAGATTAAAGATGATCCGCGAGAAGTTCTCGTTCTTTTGAATTCGTTAGGATTTGTCGGCATTACTGCGATTCAACTAAAAGCTTTTATGAAAGGTAAGTGTAGTTGATTTTTCATTTTATTTCTTTTCGTTTTATTTTCATTCTACAATAATAATAATGTTATTATTGCCACATTATTGATACACATTTGTTTATATTATTTTTTCTTCCTATTGTTATTTTGCTAATAAAATCGATGTGTGTTTACTTTGTTATAAAACAGTTGGAATTGTACTTACTTTTTTTTTCTAGATTTGAAGATATACAGAAAGGTAAGAGAACGCGAAAGACAGCAACAAAAAGAAGAGATTAAAACGAAAATAATTAACAAACAACAGACTCTGCTCAGGGAAGCTTATAGAAATCATGACACAGCAGATTATTCCTTGAGCAATATTGTTCCTTCTGAATCTTCAAATTCGCTTGATGATGAGTCAGTGGTAAAAGTTCGAATAAGATGTATCTCTAAGGAGGAAGATATACAAAAACAAAGATGCTCCAAAACAAAAGTGATGAAATCAGATGAGAAATTATTACAAACAAAATGCAACAAGCAAGATGCTATTGAAGTAGCTGAATCTAATAAGATTTATTGTGAACAAAATTATTCTAATACTAAATCTTATCCAGTTATTAAAAGCTCAAAAAGTGAAACTAAACAAGATATTTCTAAATGTTTAACAAAAAATAGTCATTTAGCAGAAAGACATAAGCAAAATTTAAAAATAGATGAACAGATGAAACCAATGACTTTGATACATCCATCAAGCGCGCCGGTTTTATCAAATTATATAAGCCAATCAGAATCAAAGAGTGTTATATCAGATCCAACTGGAAACATTCGTACACAAAGTGCCTTATCTGCAAAATCATCTGTTAATTCTGGACCTAAATCATGTAAGTTGTGTAAGATTTATATATATAGTTTTGTTAAAATCTTTAAGGATTTTCCATTTTTGTATTTGAGCTATTTGTATACAGTTATTCGGCCATGGAGGTTACAATCGGAGATACAGAAAAATATCATCAAGAAGTGTGATCCTGTTGCTCTTTATCAAAAATATCAACAGGAATGGAAGCGGATATCTTTTCCTGGAGAAGCAAAGCATTCAAAAGTAAGATGGGCTGTACGAGAAAAAATGCTTGGTACAGATCCACATCCTATGGTAAGATTCATAAATTGTTACAATGTCAGTTATGAATGTATATGTTGAAATTTTTCCTGTAAAATATATTATTTAATTTTAGCCACTTTCAAAAAAGTCGATGACACACACGCCGATATTAAAGAGGAAGTGACAGATGTGATAACAAATTGTGTTAAGAGAAGAAATGTACACCTATAGAAGAAAATAAATTACACCTATAGAAAATTGATTTGTTAAATAATACGACAATAATTAAACTGTTTTACTTTAATATATTTTAATGATTTAATTTGTAAAGTAATTTGTAAGTAACTTAAAATATGTACATAAGCAATGCAATCTGTATATATAACCAATAATACACATATATATGCATAAGTTTCTAATTTCATTAAAAATCGTTTCTCATTGTTGATTAAGTCTAAATGGACGTAATAATTGACGATTATCCGCCCTATGTAAATGATAAAGCAATTTTTCTTCTATTAATCTAGCTGCTTTTTCCGTAAGTACCAGAGTGTTGTGTTTCAACATGCTATACACATTCAAACCTATATACATAAAAAAAATAGATGTAAGGCTTCAGTATATGACACATATTAATGTTGTTACTTATTAGGAATCATTAAAGAAGAATAAACATCTTTACTAATTAAAAGATCATTTCAATCTAATTAATTTGGACATTAAACTCAATAAGTCCAGAAGCATCTTAAAATGTTGGGATTAAACTCGTTTTTTCATTGAAATCATAAGATAATTACATATAAATTACATATAAAGATGAAAGCTTAGAATATTTAAATAATTTATACACATTTACTGACCCCCTAAATTCATTGTTCAAGCATATTTAATCTATGTGAATTTTTATATGACTATGATTTGTATTATTAGGTTTGCTTAGATATCAGAATTCATACAATTTATGTATGGAATTTATACATGTTGGAATTATACATGTTATAAATTCACACTTACCATAAACAGGCATTATATTGACATGCTTAATTTGATCAGTAGCTAGCGTAATATTTGTAGGCATAATATCATAGCTATCTATAAAAAGAACAGATGGTCCCCAATTTCTCTCCTCGATTAACTGTTCTATATAGGAAGGTTCCAACGTTGGAATTTCTAATTCATTGACTATATGTAGATCATCTTGAGCGAGTTTCACAGATAATGTTGCCGTAAGACCTGCTATACGGGTATAAAATGGCAACATGTAAAAATGCGGCGTTGGAGACCGAGGACCATGCGCTACTCCACCACCTCTCCATAATGGTGAACGTATACTCCCATGGCGAGCTCGTCCTGTTCCTTTCTGTGGCCAAGGCTTTCTACCACCACCTCGGACTTCAGCACGTGTTTTTGTATGCGCATAAGACTGTAAACAAATATATAACAATATAAATATCTAATACTTGACACAAATATAATTATACAATACACTTACGACCCAACCATACATTCTCTGCCATCTTACATTCTGATGAATAATATCAATACGGGGTGCAGCAGCATAAATGTGTGGGTGTAAAGTAACCAAACCTAATTTCTTTTCCTCTATGGTATTTAAATTCTCTAGCCATACTTGCCGAGGCTTTTGATAGAAATTGTTTTCGTCGTCGTATTGTATCTCAGATATAATTGGAACGATATCTTCAATTTTTGCTTGATTTTCTACAGTCGTACAATATCTCAACGGAGGACACGTAGCTCTTTGTAACTTGCTAACAATCCTTCGAAATAGCATCGACATTTTTTTTGTCGAGAAAAAAATGTTTTTTATTCCTCCACTAAAACTCTCTTGCCCCTTGTAATTATTTAGAATACAAAATTCACCACAAATCTTGATGAAAATATTATTATTAATTTATTAACGTGTTTCACTTATTTGACGTGTTTTTGTATAATACAAAAAAATATGGTAAGAAAACGCTATACTCTGCTTCGCGAAACAAAATATTAATAAGTTTGTCCAAGTCTGTCACTATTGAGGTTACGAAATCTGTCTTCAGTCATGGTCATGGAGTAAAAAGAAGGAGATTAATAATGAGGATGAAACATTCGCTGGATAGAGACTAGAGATCCTAGAAAAACAGAGTCTGGTTATCGGCTCATGTTTTCGATTGACTCATGTTAGCTTGCCCTCATTATGGCAGCACGAATCACAATGTAAGGAAATAGCGCGCTTATTAAAAAATTTATAGACATGAAATAACGCAAAACGTTCTTTACTGATGTATTTCATAATAGAATCGTAAGAAAATATTATAATTATAAAGAAATAATATAATTATAAAAAAAATACAATCTGTTTAATAAAAATATAAAATTTCAAATAAAAACATAATTTCAAATATCGATACGGCCAGTGCCAAATGTGTTTCACGCACATCTTCAAAAGAAAGACACCAGTATGAGAGTAATAGAAACAAAATGTAAAATCAAAACAACCCCTACAGTACAAAGTTGCACAAAAGTTGCAGCAACACTGCTGTATACATGTAATATTGCAGCAATGTTGCAGAGATTTTGCAACAATATTGCTGCAAATTCTGTGCTGTATACAAAAAAGCCTGGCAAGTTTAACAAAAATTAGGGATAACGCAACACCTAAGCCGAGACAAGACCAAACACGTCCGTCCCGATTCACCTTCGTTGTGGAACAAAAATACGTGTAAAGTGCAAGCACTAAGAACATATCTTTACTACTTTTATTTAATATTTTGAGAGCACGACCAAGAGTCTTATTTTTGAAAAGTATTACATATCAAAAACTAGAGAAATGCTATAGTATATATAACATATACTATAGTATTTCCCTCGTTTTTCGTATACTTTTCTTGAATACTTTTTTAGATATTTTTCTAGAATAGAGGCCCAGACTTTGTTTTTCTAAGGACTCTAGATTCAACTAGAGTCATGCTTGATTTATGCTTCGATCTTAACCTTAAAATTCTATATCTATAAATGTTGCATGAAGGGAAAAGACTGCCAACTGTAAAACGCTAAACAGGGCGATAGTTCGTTTTTATTTTAAAATTGTCTTAAATAACATCTTAAGATTAATGGTAATATAATCCTCGGATTGACTTATGACATCTTAAATTTGTACTTAAGACAGTCTTAAATGCAAGAATCAACTATGAATCGGTCTGTTTCGCATCGTGAAATTGATACTGAATCTTTCCTTATTTAACACACTTTATGTTTCTTTTTTTATATAAAGAGAACACAGTTTATATTTCTTTTTCTATAGAAAGAAAATACATTTTATGTATATAGAAAGAAAAATATAAAGTGTGTTAAACAAAAAAAGATTCAGTATCAATTTCACGCCGATATTCATACTATTCGTAGTCAATTTTTGTATTTAAGACTGTCTTAAGTACAATCTTAAGATGTCATAAGTCAATCCAAGGATTGTATTAGCATTTTAAGACAGTTTTAAAATAAAAACAAATATCGTCCCATGTTTAGCGTTTTACAATTGGCAGCTTTTTCTCCTCATGCGACATTCATAGACAACGACAGCGGAGATTTACAGAGAGACGCTTGTAAACTGAGCACACCGTAAGTTTGTTTTCTATTTCAGCATAAAGACTGCATGAAGACTAAAACTAAACTGAATTGAACTAGTGCAAACCAGAACTGACTATAAGGGCCATTTCACATAAACTTGCATAGCCGCATAACCATATGCGTAAAGAAAATTATCTAATCACATTTCTGTCATAAAAGTAAACGTAAAATACGATTGGATGATTTTCTTTATGCATATGTTTATGCGGCTATGCAAGTTGTGTGGAATGGTCCTACAGGCCGCAACATAGACTTTGGCATAACGCATAATGTATAAGCGAATTAACTAATCAGAATCTTTCCTTTCCTCTTATTCCATGAAAAAGAAGAATTTCGATTGGTTGATTTCTTTATGCACTATGCATTATGCGTTATGTAAGTCTGTGCTGCGATTATAAGCGTGCAGGCAACGATAAAAAAAACGTTTTAGATAAAAATTGGCGTTCCATATTGTTTATATTAGGAAGTATTAGATTCGTGTGGTGAAAATGAAGGCAATTCCATTAAAAAAATTCCT